ATCAAACTCAAATTATTTTTTTTATTGTATATGTGTTTACATAAGTTTTTACAAGTAAAACTTATAACTATAATAAAATTCTGCAACACTTTTCTACTGTACAAAAGAAGTGATATATTAGAACAGTAGCGCCAACTGAGAAACCTAACATATATATATGATTATTGTATACTTAACTTAATATTTTTAGAAATCTCAAACTCAAATTATTTTCTTTTTTAAGATATATATTATGTACATAACATAAGTTTTTATAATATATGTACATAAACTTTTAAAAGTAAAAATTATATCGTGTTATAAAAATTTAACACGTTTGTTAATAGTGTCCAATATTAAAAAAAATATCTTCTTAAATATTATGTACATAACATAAATTTTTATAAGTAAAACTTATCAAGTTATTTTTTTGTAAGATATATATGTACATAAACTTTTAAAAGTAAAAATTATATCGTGTTATAAAAATTCAACACGTTTGTTAATAGTGTTCAATATTTAAAAAAATATATCTTTTTAAAGGTTATGTTATTCAAAATATTTAAGAAAACCTAGGTACAAATAATGTCCATAACAAATTTTTACAAGTAAAATTTATCATTATTTATTAGAACACTGAGTTATATGATTATTTTACTTGTTATTGTAACATATTAATTATTATAACAATGCAATAAAAAATATTTGATACATAATTCTTGGCGCGGCTGCACCAAAAACTATATCGAACTAAAACTTGTTTAATACATATATGACAGCATTTTTATTATAATATATTCTATAATGAAGGTTTATAATTTATTTATTATAATACTATATAAACTCAAATAAAACATTATACCGTATATGTATAAAGAGAATTTACAAGAACATTTTATTATAATAAAAATGCTGTCATGTATGTATTAATCAAGTTTTAGTTCGATATAGTTTTTTAAAGTCAAATTAGATATCATTGACATTTCGTCAATTATAATAAGAATAACACCTTTGAATAAAAAAATATCAAAATATGTAGAATATATATACATTCGATATGTATATTCTATAGTGAAGGTTTATCATTTATTATAATATTATATGAACTTGAATAAAACATTACACCGTATATATATATATAGAGAATTTACAAATACATTTTATTATAATTACATAATATTATAATTATAATTTATTATTATTATATAGACGAGAGTAATTGCAGATTCATAAAGTGTCTATGATTACTAGTCGGATGATGACGGATCGTGAATGCCGAGCGCGAAATTCCGACTTCTTATTCCCGGAAAATTCGTCAAACGTCAAACGAAGGGCAAAAAGTGTCGTCGCTCGCGAGCCGATCAATACAATCGGCGCGATGTAAACATTGCGGGCCTCGGCGGCGGTTGAAGCAAGAGAGACTTGCCTTTGAGCGTCTCTTGTTTTCTCGAAGGTATGGGAACGACGAGAGGAATGCAAGGAGGCCTTTCAACTGTACGCGACATTGATGCACTCTATTTATTGATTACTGAAAATAAAGAAAATTACTCTGTCGAAGCATCGGACATTTGTTAGCTTTATGTTAACTAAAGAGGAATGTGTACGATTAGAAAATATGTTAGCAACTAATTGTACAGAATGTCAAAGTTGTTGTAACGCCGTTTTCGGAAAATAATTAAAGGTCATGGTAGCGTTAAAGAGTCCTAATTAGCGTCATTTTGTGTTGTTGCTAGAAATTTTCCGCGCGATCTTGAAATATTTCTTCCCGAGTTGCGGGAAGTGCATTGCGTGAAAAATGAGAAGGCGAAGGGGCAAGATAGAAGATATTTTGGTTTAGCGATAAGATTTGCGCTGACTCGCCTCGTGGCTCCTCCTGCCACATGTACGTTCATAGGTAATGCGACAAAGACGGAGAGCGATTGATCGTCTGTGCTTGTCTAACTTACTATCTCTGTAAGGGGAAGTAGAGTGAGCAAGAACCGTGCATGCTTTACCGTTACCGTCAGGACGGATGCGGTAGTGTGCACACATTTTCTCAGGGGGCGCGTCGGAATTCGGCAAAAAAACATCCTGGCGTAATCGGCCTAGTGGCCGTTCTCAGGTTTTTTTCTGGTTGTAATATATCTAGACTGCGCGTTCTCCCAGATTTCAAGTAGAGTTCACATAGAAAAGGATGCACTGAGTTTTGTGTATGTGTGTTCTCCCTCGTGCGTGCGGGAGAGAACACACAGAACGCACAAAACCAGAGAGAAACCTGAGAGCGGCCAACATGGCGTTTTCGGCGACATCGACTTTCCGCAAAGGGTGTCATCTATATCCATTTCGAGAGAGGAACTACGATGCTACATCTATTTTCAGGTCTCAGCGGTAAAACCTGCATATGATGGTAGTCCGTGCTACATCCATATTCAGACGATTTATGTCCGTGCTACAATCATAATAGCGTACTTGACATGCACGGTCTCGCACATTGTTATGTGTTTGTAACATGAATTAACATTTTAACATGCGCAAAAGAAAAGTAGAATTGAGATTGTGTATGATTAATATCATGAAGATTATATACGATATACATCGTATAAATACAGGGTGTTCGATAATTAGCTGCCAACCCGAAGTGTGAAGGTAAATCGGGTTAAGACAAATATAAAAGTCCCATACCGTTTTGTGAGATTCGCAATAATTATCGAGTTCTTAATTACAGAAATCTGACGAATGAGCGCACGCTGGGACGAATGAACGGAGAAGCGTCGTAGTAGAGAGAAGAACATCAATAACATGGATGTGGATGATGTGGATGGGATGTGAATGCGGATGCGGATGGGGATGAGGGTGTGGATGTGGATGCGGATGTGGATGTGGATGCGAATAGAGAAAAAAGCAGAAAAGCAACAAAATGCAAAAAAACGCTGAAAACGCTGCAAAATAAAGAAAAACAATGAGTAACGTAAAAAGACAAAAAGAAAACGATATGGATGTGAATGTGAATGTGAATGTGAATGTGGATGCTAATACAGAGAAAAACAGATAAGCGCAACCAAACGCAGAAAGTCGCTAAAAAACGCAAAAAAATACAGAAAATCAATGAGTAACGTAAAACACGAAAAAAGCGATGTGGACGCGGATGTGGATAATGTGGATGTGGATGTGCAAGTAGTAGTGCGAATATAGAGAAACGTGGATGTGGATGTGGATGCGAATGAAGGTGTGGATGTGACCATGGATGTAGCAAAAGAACTAAAAAAAGCGCAGAAAAACACGGAAAGAAGAGTTTTTCAGCGTTTTTTTTCAATATTCTACGTTTTTTGCGTTTTTCAACGTTTTTCTCGTTTTTTTGCGTTACTCATGTTTTTTCTATATTTTTCTGTGTTTTTCTGCAATTTTCTGCGGTTTTCCGCGTTTCCCTGCGTTTTCAGCGTTGGTTATCTTTTTACGTTATTCGTATCTTTGTATTTTTTCGCGTTTTTCTGTAATTTTCTGCGTTTTCATGCGTTTTTCAACGTTTTTCAGCGCTTCTTCGCTTTTTTGTGTTATTCAGCGTTTTATGCATTTTTCTGCGTTTTTCTGCGACATCCACATCTACATCCACATCTACACCCTCATCCGCATCCGCATTCACATCCCATCCACATCACCCACATCCATGTTAATGGCTGCATTCAGCAGACTCAACAGTTGGACAACATTACTAGATTTTCCATTGAATCTCGCTCCTGATTGATAAATATTTCTGGGTCTATGAAGAATCTAAAAGAATGCTCCAATTACAGACAATAATCACTAAGCGCTCTCTGATCACTTTGTTCTACTGAACGCGGCCAATGATATTCTTTTCTCTGCGACGCTTCTCCAATCATTCGTCTCAGGGTGCGCTCATTCGTCAGATTTTTGTAATTAATAACTCGATAATTATTGCGAATCTCGCAAAACGGTATGGGACTTTTATGTTTGTCTTAATCCAATCTACCTTCACACTTCGGGTTGGCAACTAATTACCGGACATCCTATATTTATATGATATATATCGTATATAATCTTTATGATATTGATCATACATAATCTCAATTCTTCTTTTCTTTTGCACATGTTAACATGTTAATTCATATTACAAACGCATAACAATGTGCGAGACCGTGCTGTTTGTTAATACGCTGTCTATTACGGTTGTAGCACGGACATAAACCGCCTGAATATGGATGTAGCACGGACTGCCATCACATTCAAGTTTTATCTAGCCTAGACCTGAAAGTTGAAGTAACATCGTAGTTCCTCTCTCAGAATGGATGCAGATGGCGTTCTTTTCCAGTGTGGAAAATCGATGTCGCCGAAAACGCCGTGTTAGCCGCTTTCAGGGGGGCGATTCTTTAACTCGTTATTGAAGTTAACGACAGTTTCGTTATCGTTGCGCAGCTTTTCTACGATATACAAAAGCTGCGCAACGATAACAAAAATGTCGTGAACTCCAATAACGAGTTACAGAATCCGGCACCACTGGTTCCTCTATGCACAAAACAGAATGCATTTTTTATACGTGAGCTATCCGTATTTCTCGAACACGCATTCTAGACATATCATGGGCAGAAAGGAGTAAATACATGAAGTAAAGGTTGCATAAAAACAACAAAAAGATACAACAAAGTAATAAATGAAATTATTCTCTGAATTTCGCTGAATTTTTGGGAGCCGGTAAATTGTTACTCAAGTATCGGCTATTATAATTTTGTTAGCCGAGACTCGAATCTGAATCTAAGACGGTTGAAAACGCTTGACGAGCCTAGTAACATCAGACAAATGGTCTGTTCTTTTTAGCTGCACTACTGAACTGGTGCAATAAGTTAAAGTGAGAAAAAATATAGTTGTCTCATTCTAACTTATTGCACTAGTTCCGTAGTGCAGCTGAAAAGAACAGATCAACTAACTATCGCCTAGGGAATAATCAAATTGAAAAAAAGTGTACGATAATCGATCTTTTGTAAGTAAAGAATAATCGACGTCAAAGTAATCGAGTTGATATCGCTCATTCCTAAATCTAATCCTAACCTAACTTAGCGTGACCTAACCTAATTATTTAATAACGAATTGCTGCGTTAAAACAGCAAGTATCTTAGGAAAGTAACATTAATATTCCGATCGTGATGGCAAACGATCGGGAAATGCTCCGGGAAATCTGGGATGGTAAAATTCCAGTTTGTTTTACTCTGGATTCGGAGGAAACGTGTGAGTTGCAAGGGCCGGATCCGTTTTATCTAATGGTACCTAGGTTAAGTTATTTCCCATTGTGTACAGAGAAGGTGAGAATCTTTGCGATAGCTCAAAATATTGTAAAATGCTATTTTCCATACATCTAATGACACTAATAATTTTAGGTAAAAAAACACTTCATACGGCACATACAAAGTGACAGTAAACAAGAACACGAGATGTGGCTGGAATTTAACGGAATTCCATTAAAATGGCATTATCCAATCGGCGTTTTATTAGACATTTATTTCAATGACATTCAGTTGCCTTGGAACATTGTTGTCCACTTTGATAAATTTCCGGAAAATGTTCTAATGCACTGCCAAAACAAGTATGTATATAATAAACTTCAAATGCAACATATATACAGAGTGTTCAAAAGGAGGATTCTAGACTTACCGGGTAGAGAGTACTTATTGTACTAAATAAGAAATGCTTAGTAAAGCTAGATTGAAAAATTGATCCTTTCTATAAACGTTTTTTGATTTTGGTAACACAAATTATTTGCGCTTCAATTGATCACTCAAGTAAATAAGTGAATGAGCATCTTACCATATTATTACTTCAATATTTACAAATAGCGTTCTACACTTATTCTCCGTGAAAGCATTTAAATACAACATCCTTCAAAAGATAAATTGGACAGGGCAGATCAGTTGCGTGGCTTTCTTGATCTCCCGACTTAAATTTACTTGGATTTCTTTCTATGGGGATCTATGAAAGAAGCTTGGTTTATTCTTCATCCATAAATAATATACGAGAATTATATCAGTGAATTGCAAGATGCACCAGCTAACCAGATTCAAAAAAGACCAAGAAATTTTAAGAACTTAAGATTTTTTTTGAATCATTATACAAGCATGTGTGATATAATGTAACACACTTATACCTTGTGCAATTTCAGGGAAGTTGTGGAAGCTCACTTCCTCTCTTGTATAAAAGAAGCGGATGTTTTAAAGCACAGAGGACAAATTGTATCTAGTATGCAGAAAAAAGACCACACGCAGTTGTGGAATGGAATTATGAACGATAAATTCGACCAGTTCTGGTCTGTGAATGGTAGGCTCATGGAAGCCATCACTGAAGAGGGATTTAAATACATACCCTTTCGATGCTACACCAGTGAGGATAAGTATATACAGAAACTAGTGAGGCCGATAAACGAAGAAGGCCAAAGGAAAACGTTGAAGCATTTATTAAGCGAAGTATTCCCGGATCAAGAAAGTGGTTTGTAGTGTTTTTTAAAAGTCTTACATATAACTCTGTCTATTTGTCAAAGTTAAGACTAATTGTTCATGATTTTGCAGTTACAGTACGTACTCACGGTATCATACCACCGTTAGAAACGCCGCTTCAATGGATGGCGGAGCATTTGAGTTACCCGGACAATTTTTTGCATCTAATTGTCGTCACATCGTAACGTCCAATGAATAAAACCGGATAATTTCGTCACTCAGTGACAAATATCTCTGCCCTATTGTGTATTTTATTTTTGTTATGTTTTTTATTGTGATATATATATTTATTTCGTGATAGAATCTATTATTACATTACCAAATGTATTTTGTATAATTAAAAAAAGAGCGTGATTGCGACGGAACATTTTACAGGACCGTATGGTATCGAGTAACGTGAGAAAAATATAATAACGTGTATTGCGATATATTTGTATATTAAGATTCCCGTGAGATTTTAGACGAATTTGAATTATGTATGAATTGTACACACATATAAATGATAAAATTGACAGTTGCGCCTAGTTCGGGATTTTTTGACACTTCGATAGACACAATAAAGCAAACGAACAAATTTATTGAACTAACAATTAGGTTGGGCGTGCTTTATTCATTAAATTATCGTACAATTTTCTTCCAGCTCTTAATATCTGCGGCGGCAAGAGATTATTTTGTCTAATCACCGAATCTGCGGGCCTGCGTATGATAACGGGCTGATTTCCATTACTGTTGTATTCTGTAGTCCTACGACTGTCTCCAAAACTGAGATAATTGACAACTTCCTGCCTCTTGCTCTGTTGCTCCTTTAATTTAGAGAGAGACATTTATATTTATATGTAGCTTACGCGTAGAGCTCGAATTTGTTGTTATTACTTTGAATATCACCATCGCGGAATCCTGGTATCTCTTGTGTATATCGTCCTTGCTTAAAACAGTGTTCACCTCCGGAGACTTGTAACAGTCGGTCATCGGTGTTGTTCCGTTATTATGTTATTTACGTATTTAACACATGGCTTCTTCCTTCAGCTCTCTGGCACTTCTAGTCCTGCAAGTATGAAAAGCAATATTGAATTTGGCATTTCTTTGTGAATATACCGAATATCTGACACAAAACTTATTGTGTTAGGTCGAATGCGAAGAGTATACCGCGATTAAATATAAGGAATGAAACAATTTAACTCAGGATTTTGTATCGTATGTTTTATTCCCGAGCCGGCATAGCTCTCGAAAGCAAAATTTTTATTAACGATGCTTATACGAGCTACAGTTTCCATCCTTAAAGTACTTACAATAAATGTGTGCAATATTTGTCACGCTTGAAAAATTTACAATATTTATCGGTATTTATAATATTTATTCGAATATAAGAATAATCCGGGGCCGAAAGCGGACTGTCGAGGAATAAATTAATGTCTAAGATAAATATTTCTTGGGTTCTTAAACGTGATCAAAGTCAAGCAGTTATCATTGACGTATTTTTTTTTTAATGTTCCAAATTACGACATGGAACAAGATAAAATCCAAAGTATCAAAGAATAAATCGGGAGTACAGATTTTTACTGATATAATTTTTGTGTTTTTTCAGGAACAAGATGCAGGCTACAATTATTCGCTGATCAATAGAACAAACAGCAGATTGACAAAAATCTCTTTGGACATCCGAAAATTTGTACAACCTGGTCTACATACACCTCGTGCTCGAGTATGTCTCGCAGCAGCACCAGTAAAGTAAGTTTAGCATTAGCATCAATTAACGATAATTTCAACTACTTGTCGTTAGCCGGCAACGTGGGAAAAAGGTCTGAGGAATTAAACAAGAGATACGTCGAGCAGATAAAAACTTGACAAGTTAGGTCGCAGACTAATCGGACTAAACGCACTTAAGCTGACAAAAAGACCTCGTAAGAAACCGCGCAAGAAACGATAAATCGCGTGTGTAGTTTTAAAAAACTCATCTTGTTCGAAAATGTATCGTGCGTTCGTATATCTATCTTGGTCACACTTTTTCGCATCCTTTTACTTTCCCAGCGACAAATAGTTGCAAATTGTTCATTCCGTTTCACTATCAGCTCATTGGATCAACGTCGTTGAACTTTGCTGGGCCGCGGGGTGTTTCTTGCGGCTTCGCTTCATGTTTTTCTTTCTTGATACGCGTCTTCTTGGAAACACACGTAACCAAAGAAACTCTCTACTCGGTGTCTGTCTTATAATTAGCAGCTATCGCGAAAATGAGCGTCTCTCCTTGCTGTCTACGTGTGTCGAGCGTTCCGCAGTCTCGCGGACGAAAATTAGCGTTCGAACTTGACATCTCTCTCGATACGTCGCGCAATCAAACATTCTCATTTCTTCGCTGCTCATAATCACACGACCTCTCTGTATCTTGATATTCCCGGCCATATAGACTTGCAAAAATTCTCAATCTCTGCTTTTCGTATTCCGTTCCGATTAGCGCGATCAAGGTACAGACGTCGGCATTGAGACTTGAAATAAACGACATTTCGCGAATATGAGCGACTACGAGTGTCTTCACAATATTAAATGACTTATCCAGAACATTGTCACGTCGTTGTCCTTTGCGGGAAATATTTTCGTCGCAAGACGCTGACGAAACAACACGAAACAACACCTGGACCTGTTTTCTGGACTGTTTGCCGCGAGGCACGGAGAGCGCATCTGGAAAAGTCTCAGAAAACTGATCCTCCGGGAATCCGCAGCGATTTCTCGCAGCGATATAAAATAGAAAACTGGAGGAAGGATCCATGAAAGATCTCGTAGGCGCGGGTCGTCACCGAAAGCGGATGGCGAGTCGGATCAGGGCTGAGGGAAGGATTCCGCTATACGTCGCTGGTCGCCGAGAGACTTATCTTTAATCTATAGTTGAGGGGCGGGGGGAGGGGAATAACACGTGCGGGGAAATATGTAGGACATAGAAACCGCGGCCGTGGGCTATAGCGATCGATGAAAATTCATGAGCGACAATAGCGTTTGGCAAATGGCGCGTTCTTCGCGCCAGCCAGCCCGCGCGCCGGGATAACACGGCGATTTCACGTTGCGCGACACACTTCCCCGCCTTACGAGTCTTACCTTGCGCTCGAGGCGAGACGAGGTGAGTCAGCGTACCCGAAGTGCCATCGCCGAAACCTCGGGCTCTCGTCCGTCTACTGTGCGCGCTGTGCGCGTGTTCCGCAAACGGAGGAACATCTCTCAACGCGTCGCCGTCGAGCGGTCGTTGGAGCGACGCCAAAGTCCTTTTCGTATGCTCTTGTGTATCCGGTCGGCGCGGATCGACCGAGAGAGCTGCTTTCTGAGCGCCCATCGCGCTCTTCGACACGCGATTATCTCTTATCGCACGTCGCGCGGAGTATCGCGCGACGCGTCTCTCTTTCCGAAAGAGCGCATGATGTCATCCCCAAGCTCGCGCCTCGACCGAATTTCCGTTGGCTCGAGCTGCGACTTGGAAGAGGCCATGCGAGAGGAGCAGGGCCCGAAGCGAAGAGACTGCGATTTGCAGTAAACATTTGCGGTTGTAAACACGTTGGCTCGGATTATTCCACGCACGGTTGTCTGAAAAATTCCCCTACACGACGGAGCTCTCGCCAGGCGATGATGTGAGATAGACTGATGATGGAGCGAGAGACGACAGAGTGTGTGAGATCATCGATTCTGATTAATGTTCCATTGTGAATTAATATTAAGTACCGCAATTATTCTTCGTCATGGCTGCTTTTCAATTCCCCCAGGTCGATCCTCATCGAGACGACGAGGAATCCTTTTCTCAATAACACCGCGCGCCCGGCGGGTTGCATTCCGTCGGAGCCACCGAGACCTCTTTTTTCTCCTTCCTTTGAATCGCGCTACTGCACCCTTCTTAATAGCGTCGCACCAGCCAGTGACATTTATTGTCGTTGATTGACGCGTTGCAACAGTCATGCTTCGATTCAAGGTCTGCTTTGCGCGCACGCGATGGCCTTAATAAAAAAAACGGCTGGTACTGTCATTATCGTCGGTTTAACGGAGGCAATCAAAGAAAAGGAGAGACAAAGAGAGACGAAGAGGGAGGGAAAGAGGGGGGAAGACGCTCCGGCTAATCCGTCATTCGACGGATCCACATTCCTCGTCGACTTCTTGGCTTCAAGTTCGACGCAGCCCGTAATTGGTGCAATTTGGCTCGATAATCTCGAGAATTTAAAAAAAATGTGCACGAGAGAATTCTCCGACAAATCGCCGCTTTATCTTTACAAGGAAAAAAAATTCAAAAACTTGATCCACTACTGAACTATAAGATACACCGTTGGTAAGTCAGGGAGCCGACTGTCCCGTTGCTGCTGAAACAGCGAAGTGTGGCGCTAGTTGCAGCGAGGCGCTCGACCACGCACACATTTTATTTGCGAGAAAGAGAGAGAGAGAGGAAGGAGGAAGCGTACAGATGGAAAATGAAATTGAATTTCATCTGCCGCGTGTTTAACTACCGCGATAACGATTCCGTTCAATCTGCTCGCAGGTGCATTGGCATCGCTCACGTTGCAACACGAACACAAGCTGGACGATACGTTTTTCAATCCATATGACAAAATGCGTAAAACCAAAATGCATAAAATAGGAAAGGAATACGCGAGGATTGGCATTGTAGCGAGGAAACTGTCCTTTCTCTCTCGAGTGTTTTTACTTTAATTTAGAGATAAAATCGTAGGAATTTTCTCGATCGACAAGGGAGAAACGAGGTGAAAAAATTCTTCGACACGTGTTCCGATTCTGGATTTTTTCCGTTTTTACTATATCGACTGTTGTTACGGATATACACGGCTAGTAATTAGAGAGAAAAAATAATATCAACATTACGTCAGTCGTATGTACGCGACGCGAATAAATGCTCATTAACAATTCTTCATTACAGCCACTGTGTCAACTACAAGCGGGATCGCGTGTCGGTGTGTGTGTGTGTGTGTGTGTGTGAAAATGCATGATTCACTTGATATTTTCCTTTCCTTTTCATAGCGAGCGTTTATTCTCCGTTACGACGGACTTGTGCGATAATAATCATCGGCGATAAATCATGCAAATTGCATAGCAAAAATAAACTATGTGGCATGCATTCTCCACGTCGTTCTGCGCGACCGCTTTAACGGGACGCGGAAATGGATGATAAACTCTAAAAATATTGGCAACAATCGTCTCAAAGGATCATATCCAAAGACTGAAGAAATGCAAAATTCTCCAAGTTTCCCGCTGAAAATTGTGTCACCCCTCCGCTCATTATATTTTCTTGATAGCAACGTGTGAATGTTCCGAAAAATGAAAGACATTATTTATTTTTTGTAAAATTTAATTTCGATGTTTAAATTTTTAGCAAACTTCAGGAGAATGAGCGGAGAAGTGATATTTTAAGAAAACCCATCTAAAGGGACGTCTCAATGAAATGAGAAAATATATTAATTTCAACACATTATATTTACTTTTTTCATATAAATATACAATATAATTCTAATACAATGTTATGCAATATATTACAATAGAATATAAAAGACAATAATGGTATAAAAAATATAATATACAATATTGATATTGATATTGATAATATAAATATTATATTAATGTATATATTATATTATTATATAATATCAATATAATACATGAACATGTGTAATGTTCATTAAACATGACAGAGAGAGACGCTGTACTCCGTGTGAAACTTCTATATATCGATATTAATAGATCGATGTACAAAATCTGTTCGTACCGTTTGCAATTATGGGATTTGATGATACAAATTACCCCTCGCTAAGGTCGCGATCGACTCTGCCGATAGGAAGTGCTTTTTACTCTTGAATCTTCGCGAGATCCTCGCTCCGTCTCCAAGAAAATAGATTTGACAATACGGCTCACGATATCTATCATTATTGTTATCATCGTTATCGAGACGTTCCGAGACGAGGAGAAAACTCGAGGAAAAGCCACGCTCGCGAGTCTGCGAGACGCGTGGCCGGGGTACCGAACGCGCGCGGTCCGGTGGTCTCGCAACCTCGAGTTGCCAATATCAGGCTGCGATAACGGAAAACAATGCACCGACGACGCATCAACAGAGATGGACGACAACAGAGGCGAGTTGCGTGCGCGCGCTCGTATGAGCTGGCGCGCGCTTATCTGCGTCGCGCCTTTAATCCATCTCGCGCGGAGGGTCGAGATATCGCCACGGGGCCTCTTCTTCGAGGAACGCGACACACTCACGGAACACGCTCGCGCATCGTTCGCGCATCGCGCTCCGCGAAATTGCGTAAATCGCTAATTACGCGAGGAGAGCACGCGTCTCGCGGCTGCTTGAGAGACGCGGAGAGACGCGGGGAGCCGTCGAGCGCGCGACGCGACCTGCCGACTTGAGATCGATCGGCCGGAAAGATCGGGAGATTGTGCGATCCACGTCGCTCTTCGTCGAACACAACGATACGAGCGGGACGGTTCTCCTCCTCTCGACGAGGGAGAACGATTGTGCACTCGGCCGGCTTAATCGCGAGCACTCTCACCGCGCGGGCGCGATTTATGAGGCCGGCTGAATTTCGTCGAGCGACATTTCGTGATATCGCGAAATAGAGACTATTGCCGAGAGACGCGTGGCGTTTATCGGCGTTACGATAAGAGCGATCGCCGAGCGGACCGATAATGCGGCGAGACTTAATCCGGGCTATTTTACAAGCTGCCCGGTCGTGCTGATTATTGTTCCACGGCTCGTGAGCGGAAATGAATCGACGGCGAGACCGGGGAATGGGATTCTTATTCTCTCTCTCTCTCTCTCTCTCTCTCTCTCTCTCTCTCTCTCTCTCTCTCTCTCTCTCTCTCTCTCTCTCTCTCTCTCCTAGTGTACATCACGTAACCGTCGAAACGCTCTCGTCCGGGAGATAAGCGCCTCGCACGGTTTGTAGAGCCGCGTGAGAAGGAAAGAAAGAGAGGGAGAGATACTCTCCGTGAATCATAACGCGGCGAAAGAGACAACGATTGCGTCAATCGCGGCAATTCGAGCGCGCTTTCTTCCGCAGTCGCGAGGAATCCGTCCTCTTTAGGACTCGAATAAGAAAAAGATACGCGCACGGCTTCGAGTCGGATCGATGGGCACGATCGTCGCTCGTCGTTCGATAACGCGATCGATAACGTCGCGCTGTGCCTGAACTAACCGAAGAGCATCGCGGAGCAAACCGCCGCTTATTTTCCGCGTGTTTTATCGTCGATCCGTCATTCGTCCGCGTCCGGTAATCTCCTCGCGGGCAGAAATTCGAGGCGAACGAACGAGGAGCATTCGACCTTCCCCCCCCCCCCGCGAGGGGAATTACACACTGTTGACGGTCTTTCTCGAATTAATGCTCAAATTATCGAGGCGATAATATTGTTTCAGCTCGCGTCTGCAGCGACGGATAGCGTCTTGCAGAAACGTCGCCGGGAAATTATTAATGGACGGCGATCGCGCCTTAAACGATAAATTCGACGGGCAGGGAAAATGAGAGAACGCCTGGGCTTCTTTTTCTTTTGTTTAGTTTTTTTTCATCTTATCATTTTTTTTTTAACAACCGTTTTATATTTCTTCTCAAATATAATACAATACTTAACTCTGGATCACACGCGCGCGCAGGGGTGGGGAGGCAGGGTGCACGCAGAGGCACCCCCGAATAAGTTTAAATTAAATAGGAAGAGTAATCCATTTGTTTTAATTACAATCGTCTCCGCCTCTCTGCGAACGTAACTAAAAGAGAGGATTCGCATTCCCTCTCTCTCTCCCTCTCTCTCTCTTTCACATTTTTTAAACGCTCTTCCCTCACGTTCCTTCCTCGCAGCACAAAAAATCCGTACACGTTCTCTCTCGTTACTCTCCGACACTTTCCTATGCACACGCACGCACGCACGCACACACGCATTCCCTCTCTCTTTCTCGCCTTTTCCTCTCATCCGTTCGCTTCCTCCCGATGAATCACAATAACGGATATGGTCGTTTCGGACGAAACTCATCAATGAGAAAAAGCTCGCACGAGCGAGCGAGCGAGCGAGCGAACGAACGACGAACTACGCGATAAAACTATACCGAACGCTGATAGCGCCGCTCCTGTTGACCACCCTCGCGCCTCTAACGGGTGGCGATTGTTCGCAAGGCGAGAGTGTTTACTTGTCCCTTTGAGAATTCTTCGAACACGTTTTTTATACGACTATCGCACTTTGAGCTGCCGAAGGTGCCGCTGCGCGTCCCCTCGCGCTTTTCTCCTCCTCGGTGTTTACCGAGCCGGCACGCGTGTCAATAAACGCGAGATAACGCAATTAAAACGATCGCACGCATCGACGACGAGAGGCGGGGCGGGGTGGGGGGGGACTCGCAGTTTTCGCCAAGTTTTTACAA